GTCTCCTATAGCCAGTGGCAATCATACTCACAGCTTTTTAAACTGCAGTTACATTTCTGTGTGTTTAACAGCACAGTCTGTTATGCTACTGTCTTTAATCCTTCCAAAGTCTGCACTGACAACTCTATAAAAACATTAAGTTTCCTTCTCTTGTAAGTGACAGACAGAAGAACCTTTCAATACAATTCAAACAGAACTCACTTAAGTGTTTTTTTTTGAGCAAGGCAGAAAAAGCAAAGAAATTTTCTTATTCATCTCCAGATTAATGTCAACATGCCAGTATTCTAGCTAGGTTTGGGTAAAATAGTAAAGCAACTATCATGGACCACAGAAGCAACTACTTGTCAAGGAATGACAAAAAAATATTCAGGCAAGTATATTGAGTGGTTTCACTGACCTACAACAGGACAGATTCAGGAACAGGCCCTGCACAACACTTCCCTTCTCATCCATTTGAAGGAAAATGGAGGTTTTTTTTTTTAATCAAGTCTTCTGGTTGCAAAAAAAAGTGACCTCTGTTATTGCTGTTCTCATACTCCACCTTCTTGTAACAAATTCTCTGCGGTCTGAATGCCATAATCGGATTCAGACTCTTGCAAACTTAAGGAGAGATATAACCACAACTAGAGTGTCAGAAGTCTAAAGACATCTTCAGCTGTTTTCTTTTATTAATTACTCCAAGGTAAATGTGCTGCTTTAAGATCAAGTTTTGCCCATCAAGGTTTTTCATACCTCTCACTTTTGGATATCCTTTGAAGATCCCAACAGGTCAAGTTCATTTGATTGCAGAGTGTATTTTTGGCTAAGTTCCATTTTCTTCCACCTCCAACTTTCCATGCAATCTGACAGTATTTTCTCTACTGACATTGCTCTTAGTTGCACTGTGGGCTCCCACTCAGTACCATGTTCTTGCAGGGTTAAGTCTTAGTACTTGAGGCATCCTTTCATTAGGTAACCTGAACAAAACTTGTATGTGCAAGAACACTTTTGCTAACCAGTTTCATGAGAAGAATCATTAACACTTTAGTGATCCAGGACAAAGATCAATTTTATTCAATGAGAATTTTATGTTCCTCCAACATAAGGTTGTTAAACAGGGCCATAAACCTCAGTACGTAAAATTGAGTGCAGCAACAGCTCTTTTTGAGACAGTCATGATTGGAACTGCCAATGGTACAAGTGTTGAAATTCATAGAGCTGAGCTACTAGAACAGAAGCAAAAACCTTTCCCTGAAGACATATAGGGGAGAAGGATGCAATTAGCCATTCAACAGCACATTCCAGTGCCTAGTTTCTAGTACATACCAGCATGCTTAAGGATTTAAGAAAAAATGCTAAATCTCAGTAAAATAATGAAATAATGAGGTATAAAGATCATCATGAAGGTCTAGTGGTTTATTCCCCAAAGACTTCTTACTACCTATCAGGAAGCAGTCACATCTGCATAATCCATCACAGAATCTCTGTAGACACAAACTAAAGAGCATGACTCATCTGGCCCCTTTTAAACATCATCTCCGAGTGGTTAAATTGCATTCCCAAAATGCTTATTTCTATCTACTGCCTGATAATGGAATATACAGAGCCCAGCACATGTGTAAATGATATGCTGCAAGAGCCCTAATTAATGATATTCTACTAAAGACTCAATTGCAATCAGCAATATTTGCACAGTTGCTTTCAGAAGAGCAGAGCTCAGAAAGCTGCTTAATATCACTACTTAAGCAGGGCAAGCTGTGCTTGGATTTCTCTCACTCCTCTTCCACAAGCTGTTTTCTTCAGTGAAAACAGAGAAAGAAGAAAGCAGACCAAGTATCCGAAAGAACTCTTTAGTCTTTGTGATCTGGCCACATTCAAAGAATTACCAGTGTTGAAGGAAAAATGCTGTTACACTGGATAGAATTGAATCCTCACCATCTATTGGAAGTGCAAGAGTCTTGGTCACAAGCCAAGAGACAGGGACAGATGTGTGTGCACCAAGAAGTGTTTTAACAGTTTAAAAGTTTAAAGCCAAGTAAGCAAGATGCTTAATTGGACACTTGTACATAAGGAAGATTCTACAACTGGCAGTTGTAAACACCAATAATTGCTGATAAAGTCTTCCACCTTGCGGGCACTGTAAGATCCTGACAGAAGTAAAGAATTCAAGTAGCAAAACAAAGACTGAAGCCTTCCCAAGTTTGGGTTGTTCAGGGAACTGAAAGCTTAGAGAGTAAGAGGGTTCAATAGGTTGACCAGCCTTCAAGGACAGCTTGCTCAGAACACAAGAATATGCAAGAAACTGAGCAGACATAGCATATGCCTAGCTTTGGCTGCACAAGGAAGTCCTAACAGCTCAAACATGACAATTCTATACCACCAGCAAAGTCTATACCTACAAGTCCACAGGACCAGAAGAATGCATGCATGCATGCAAGAGTGCTGAATGCGCCGGGTCATGTTGACTGATTACTGCATGGGACAGATGGCACATAATCTTTAAGAAAGGTGATCCAAACAGTCTAAGCTCAGTCTCTTCAGAACTCAGGGACCTTTTAACTCAAGAAATGATATAGTACATATCCTCATTAAATCCATTTCCAAGTGCCTAAAGGCAACCTGAAAGAGCTAGCAAGGATTTACCAAATGCATGTTATACCTGCGTACGCTTACCTTTTATGATGACTGACTACAGAACAGTAGGGAACAGTTAATGGCATTAACCTCAAATTTAGCAAGTCTCCCATAACTTGTCACAGAAAGTTGACAAGTGGACTCCTTGAGGGTACTGTGCAGTCTTAGGAATATTGATGATAGAACAATTCACAAGCTTATAGATGACAACAGATCAGAGGAAGCCAACAATGAATTGCTGAGTAGGCCCCACATTCTGAAGCACTTCAAACTGCAGGAATAGAGCAACAAACCTCATGAACAATCAGGAGAAATGAACACCCAAATTAACACTTTTTTTTTTTTTTGTAAGTGATCTTTTATAATTCTCCAATGGTATACTTCAAGTCATCAAAAAAGGTATACTTCAAGTCATCATTTCAGAAGACAAGCAAGCATCAACTACATCAGAATTTGTCCCTTTCTATGTATCTTCAAGTATTTGGATCAAAGTGTGATACAGCACCATTGAGATGCCAGGTTCCTCTAGCTTCATGAGCTTATATTAGCCAACAGAAAGAATATATTACAGTGCAAGTACCCTGATAATGAATGTTCCCTATACCCAAAAATAGGTCTCACATTATCACCCTTCAAGGAGAAGGAAACATAGTAATACACAAATATGTAAGCCTTGCCACACCTGCTCATGTTGAACATGAAGCAGCTTCAAGTCAACACCAATATCATCAAGTGTTCACTCACAGTTAAGACAGGTAAGGGAAGTTTTCATCTCAACAGATCAAAAAGAAACAGTGCCAATACTGGAATATAGCTAACAGATAAGATCAGAAACATCAACAAAATTGAAAGCACAAAGTCTAGCATTGTAAACATAAGACACTCAGTAATGAGGCATCAGATACAAGCGGAGTTCTTTCTGAAACCCTTGAACTGCTAGCATTTGGTGCTTGAATTTAAGTCTTTTTTTCTTTTATTCTTGTGGAACACCAATCTTACAATAGTTAAGAACAGATTTGACAATACTTGTTCTGTTTACCTCTTCACTGTTAATTCTGTACAGCAAGATGAGGAGAGAGGTATATTGCTTGTATATATACAGACCACAGGGCTCTTGTACTGACTCACTCATATTTACATGTTCATGTAAGGGATGATTACAGACTCACCTATAAAGTGAAATATACTGCTAAATCTGTAGTTGATCCTTATTTCCTGAATTGTTCCAGGGATCAATGCAGCACAAGCATGATTTGAATAGTAATTGCTAGAACTACAGCCACGTACTTTATGTCCCTTCCTATGGGAAAGCTTGGAGGGAAGCTGTTTAGGAAAGCTGGAGAGGCTGTGAACAGCGGAGCACAGCTAGCTTAAGAGAGCATTACCTTTACGATATACTGCTATGGAGGAGGCCTTTACAGGTACAATATTTATATGGAGGTTGCAATGGGGTTGGTCAAAAAAGCTACCGTGCTTAAATGCAAAACAAAAAAAAAAAAAAAAAAACCACCATCACTGAACCTCTTAACAAATCAGTTTTTTCCAAACAAGCCTTCCAAATGATGGCTATGCTGAAGTAATATAGCTATTTCCTTTTACTTCGGGTGAACACCTAGATGTTCCAGTCCCTTGTGTTTAATCTTCAATTAGCAGACAACATCTAAAAAGATGCATTAGAGCCTTTCTAGAAAGATGTACCAAAAAAAATGTCAAGATAAGTCTGCAGAACATCCAGTAGCAGAAATATCATTACCAACACTGACAATGCACTGAAGGAAGACAGCGCGCTGCTGAAGAACACTACTCACACTTTAGTTAAGGACAGGCATTTATCACATTCCAGTACTGAATCTTCTTCATATGAAGACAGCTGAGAAAGTAGGATAAATGTCACTATAAAGCAACTAAACTTACACTACGAGGTGGTCCTCGGCGTCGGCCATAATAGCCACGTCGATAACGGCGGCGATCTGCAGCATAGCGGCTGCCTTCCACAGGGACTCCATCTGGACCAGTGACATTAGCTGCTTCTGCACCCTAAAAGGCCAAAAAAGTCAGTAAGCTGGGGTTGTGAGAACAACCACACATAGGGAGAAGGAAGACAAAGGAAATATGAAGAAAATTTCTTTGTACATTTGGTCCAAGCTTGATATCTTTCCTCTTAAGTTGTGAAAGCATGTCTTATTTTCAACCCCTTAACCAGAGAAGCTTGTCACTAGCCACTCTTCAGCACACATAAGAATAGCAAAAAGTGACAGAAAGGTCAAAAAGCGACAAGACATCCAAAAAACAAATATTCTCAAAAAGGAGTCGGAGAAAGTTTTGTGAACTTTTAGGTTCTTATAATCCTTAAGAAAGTAGGCTTCAAAAGAAAGTTATTCAGGTCAACATATGCATCACTTCAAGCTTGCGGACTATCCAATAATCATTAACTAATCTCTCAAGTAAGAATTACAGATTCTAGAAGCAATAAGGCATAGTTAAAAGTTGAGACTCATTACGAAACATTTCTTAATGAGAACTTTAGAGAAAAGCCGTATAAATGCCACCTACTCCAGGAATTACTCTAGGACACTAAACAAAATTACTATATATGCATGGAATGTTGTTATCCCCCACTAGAGTGATGCTAGCTTTGTTAGACTATGTCTCTAGAACTTCATAATCTCTTACCTTCTCTCCTTCAACCACATCAAATTCTACAGTTTCTCCATCACCAACACTGCGCAGATATTTCCGAGGGTTATTCTTCTTTATTGCTGTCTTTAAAGATGACACATGAGAAAAACATTAGTTTTGAGCTTATTCATTCACAGCCCTCTAGATGAGGGAACGAGTCTTTCTTTTCCAAGATCAGCTTTACATAACAAACCAATCACATCAAGATATGGCAAATACACAAGTGTTTCCCATTTTCTAGTCCTTCCTGAGGTTACAAGTCAGCTGTTACCCTAATCTTTCCCTCTCTACCAAACAGCTGAATCATTTCAGGTCTGTATGACTAGAGTTCACACAGACTGCTTGACTTTCTACAAAAAGTAGCAATGCAGCTCTAGCTGCAAGAATGACCTGTGCTTTCAATCATTAAAAGCTTGCAAAAATAAAGTCACCTAAGATCAGGAACATTTTTAGAGAAGATACTAAAAGATAAGGTATCATGACAATCAGAGAAGAACTGCTATAACTTTAGCGTAACAGAAAGAAGCATTTTTACCTAAGCACAGTAAGATAGACCCCAAGAAGGCAAGGAAGTCCCTAGAGAAGGCAGAGCAATAACACCAGAAGAAAGTGTCTTAATCTTTAGCCACCTCTTCTAGAAGGAAACCCAAGAAGTAGCATTAACATAGAATAGGATCAAAACAAGTTTTTTTTTTTTTTTTTTTTTTTAAAAACAAGCCCTTCAGACTCACAGGAACACTCCTCAGGTCGAGGATTGGTTTTCCATCTACAGATCCTAAGATCCTTTTCACTCTGATGAGTGCTTCTAGGACTCCATAAGAGGTAATTAGCAAGAGAAGCTTGTTATCAGCTTATCACATAAGGGTTCACAAACTTGAAGGCCAGAAGAAGTAATCCATTATGCAAGTTAGAGTCTTCGCCCCGCCCCGAAGCACTACTTGGTTATTTAATACCAGTTTGTTTTCAGTGTGTGTTAATATGGTTATATTTAGTCAATACACAGGATATGGATGTGTAAGATCCATGAAATAGAAGTCATATGAAATACAACACATAAATCCAGCTTAAGAAGTGACAGTTGTGGTACCTGTAGTCAGTTTCAAAAAAACAGGCAGACTGAAGAACAGCTGAGCTGTTGCCAATATGACAGTTACATTCATTCATCAAGGCAACAATAGTCCAAAAAATATTTACTAAGATACTGAAGAAGTTACAAGCAGTTAAGAGCTGAAATAAAGCCCATTTAGGGAAGGTATTCTCACATTGCTGAATACAGGCCCTTTTGCAAGAAACTAACATGTTCTTTTAGCCCTCTATACTCCGTTCTTTGTAAGGAGCAATATGCATAATGGTTCAAGAAAAAAAAAATACAAAAGTTGTGCATAGCATTGCTACTGACACAAAAGCAATCTAAGAATTAGTTGGTACAGAAAGAATGAGCTGCTCAAGAAAATTTCTTTGGAAAAAAAATATTTCAGCAAGCAGAGGCTCCTACCTTCAGGCAAGGTTTTGCTTTCTTTACCAGTAATTCCAAAGAAAGCAAACTAAGTAATTTTCCCATCTCTAAAATAGGCAAAAGTGGCAGCTTTTGCATAAATGCTATTTAGTAATTTGATTATTTTAATATTAGTAATCTATGTTAAGGGTAATTATTTCACTGCTACTTGTATTGAAACAAGTAACAAAAGCTGAAGGTTTGGGCTTCATGGCAGAGACATCAACAAGCTTTTCCCCAGAATCTTCCTCCTTTTTAAGGGCGGGGGGGGGAAGGGGGAGAAATAAAGAGAACCTACTACATTTCCTTTCAGCGGGGGTGGAGGGGTGGGACTAAAGATTAATCAAGCTCTTCAAACATCCTCCAAGCACAGTAACAACAGCTTGAACAGAGCTTAACATATAGTATTTGAGATTTATGGACAAAGACTTAAAGTTTCAAATTTGCAGCTGGATAACCTGTCAATAGGATATAAGAGCCCACCATATTCATCGATATTTGTTTTATAAAAGCAGCTAGAATTACTTTGAATAAGTCCTAGAATTCTGACCAGGACCTGTAAGAGCTTTACTTCTTCAGTGGCAGGTAACTGGCTGAAATAAGTCCAAACTATTAGCTTAAGAAAAGGACTTTTACACTGTATATCTAGAGGGGAGAGAGAACTATACTCCCCATTACTGCTCACGAGCAAACAGTAGTCTACAGCTTTTTTATTCAGCAGACAGATGCTTTGTTTTGACAAAGAAACCACTGAAGAACAAAGCTTTTCCTTTTCTCAGGGGACACAGACCAAGCAGCAGTGATAGGAGACCACAGCTAACTCAGGACTCTGCACAGCCAAGCTCTTCCTATAGCCTCAAAACAACACCCCACCATGGGCTCATGCAGTGCTGTTACAGCAGATACCATTATACCAGCTATTAGTGCACCTCTAGCAGGCTGTCATAAATGCTGCACATGACAAATGTGACTCAAACCTCTGCAGCAGCAGAGGTTAATTTCTCACTGCCTGTTGCCTCAAATTATACCCAAGTTACTTAGGTTTCTCTAGTTACCTACACACATACTTTTGAAAGTGTTAAATTGAAAGATGCTCACACAAACATCCTCAACCTTGTCAGAAGCAACTAACACAGCACGCTAAACAGCATCTTGCATGATGCAACTCAACAAGAATGTAAGCAAAGTGAAACAGAAAAACCACACCCTTCCCCAGTCCATTGATGAGCCCTCCTCCCGCCCACAAGGCAAAGGGTTAACCTCAAACAGTAATGCATGCCCCAAAGAGCATTTTAATCTGCCCTCCATTTATAAATAGCACCCAATAGCTGTACATGGTGTGCCAACCCCCATTCTCAGAATGAGAACTGCCTGTTCCCCTCCGCGTGGGGACGGACGCCTCCATTCAACTAGGTCAGTCTCGCTGTGAAGCGACTAGGCTGGTAACCCAACTCCTCCCCTAAAGCCTCGGAGCGGGGAGGCGGGGCAGGGCCCGCCGTCCAGAACGCGCCATTAATAGCAGGGAGCAGGGCCGCGTGCAGCAGAATGTTTGCTACGTCACTGATTCCCTCCCGCGCCGCCGCTCCCTGCCCAGCAGCTCTGCTGCCCGGCTCGCCACGCCGATTTTCACCACCCGTCGGTAACTGAGCTGCCAGCTCCCCAACTTCCCATGGCATCCCGAAGGCAAAGAATTCCAGACAGGCCACCTTGCATATTCTGGCCCCTCCTGACAGGAGGTTCGCAGCCCCTATAACAAAAACACTGCCACCGTTCAGGCAGAGCTGCAACAGGGCTGATCCACCCTTCAATGCAACCTCCCCTCATCATTTGTGTTACCGCTCTTACCACATGTAGAAAGTTAACTTGAGTTGGAATAGTTTAAGAACACAAACTGCGGCTCATCCAAATTAGAGCCCAAAGTATCTGCTTTGCTATGCAGAACCCATGGACAAGTTTGATCAGATGCCAGTTTAAAAAGTGGTATTTCAGGGACATGAGGACAGTGTTTTGCCCAGCACACACTCCTGTAAAGTTTCAGCTACAGAAAATGGGGAAGGGGAAGTTTATCAAAACAAACAAACAACAAAAAAAAACAACAAAAAAAACACACCACACACAAACACACATACATACCCCCCACACAAAAACATACACACAAAACCATGTCCTTATCCCTCTCCCAGCAATTTACATGGAGGCAGTTACCAGAACAGCTGAATACAATCTAAGTACAAAATAGCATAGTTTGCTGTACATCTTCTAGAGCAGAAGAACTGATCCATGTCACTTCTGTTCACCAGTCATTTTCCAGCAAGTCTTCTCAGGGATCTCAAGGAGACCTTATTTTTCCTTCAAAGACATATTACATTTCTGCCTCTCCAGAAGGTATTTCAGCCACTAGGCTACCATTCCCATCTCCTCTCAGATGGACTCCTATCTCACTCTGGATGGACTCCCACCAGGTTGTAGATTCAGTCCCTCTCTCAGGGTCCACAAAGTACATGGGCATTACAAGCAGAGAGGAAACTTAAATATTTGCATATACTTCACATTGAGGGCTCTTGCACTTAATGGTATGTGCACACCTCCCAACATCTTCAGTTCCTTCACAACTTCATCCATTTTATGAATACCTGGTCTAGATAACCTTTACACAAAGAAAGAGGTCCCAAATGCAATCAAGTCATGAAGAGCTACTTTAGTTCCAGTGGCTTCAAGTTTATCAAAACTTGTAAGTGGCATGCCCTTTGTCTTCCTGCAAGTTTCCTGCTTACATCTGATGGGAAATACTGTCACTCACACCATGGAAGAAGCTCATGCTTGAAAGGCCTGCAGGGCCTATATGTTATTCTTACATATAGGACAAGCTCCAAGGGCAGTATTTCATTTTCTGGTGAAACAAGTTTCTCCAGTGTTGCACATCCAGATCTAAGCCAAGCAGTTTTTAAATCAGTGTGTGACAACCATCTCTTCCTTTCAGCTATCTATATCATAAGCCTCAGTTCAGAGAGGCTCAGAAAAGCCTACTGGCAGTTCAAAAAAAAAAAAAAAAAAAACACGACTATCTGCTGAGCAATTTCTCTGCACCTTCTCTACACTTGGCATATAGCCAGCCCTTCCCTCCTCCTTCCTAACAGCAGCTGTCTTGTGCAGCAACAGCTGATAGCAACCCAGTCTGGTAAAAATCCAGACTGGATCGCTTTCTCTGCAATACCAGGAAGGGCAGACAGAAGAGACCTACAAATGGAAATGGCAGGAAAAAGTAGAAGACAGGAAGACAGGAGGGAGTGTGAGCAGCAAAGCCTGCCCCCCATCTTCTCCCCCACCCCAAACACCCCCAAAACAACAACAACAACAAAAAAAAACTAGGCATTTATATCAGACAAGAAGATTGTAACTTTGAGAGTATCCTTTTTTCCTCTGCAATTTGCTCCTTGAGAGGTTTCCAATACAGTTTCTTGTCACAATCGGATGAGTGCATGATCCTTTGATATATCCAGGGTAAACAATCTAAGCATATGCCATGATAGATTGACGTAATTGTTCCAGGAAGTTACTAAAAACCCAATATGGACTTTATTTAATACGCTTTAAGTTCAATCACTGCTCTTACCTGATGAACAAACACATCTTCTTTGGTATCATTTCTGTGAAAAAGCAAGTGAGAAGCTGTAAGAGTTTAGACTAACTGACTTAAATAGAAATCCCTGACTTCAAAAGTAAACCCTCCCTTCCCCCAGTCTGTAGTATATCCCCTGGATGCCATACATTCTGTTTAAGTTATGCTATCAAGACCCTGCCATCGGTTTCAAGGGTCACATGCTTGATTGCAGAAATGATTCCTCACTCTTCAGAATGGAAGTCCCTGCAATCTGGACAAACATTCAAGATGCAATTTTCACACAAGACAATAACCAAACAGCTTGTCTTTCATACACTTCCACACACACCCTACCTTCCAACTTTCACAGAACCTGCAATCTGAGCTTCCAACGTGCTATCCCAGAGGTCAATAAAGACTATCAACAGGTATAGCCACAGCTGTTAATAGAGCTCTTTCAGTGAAACCCAAAGCAACACTGTACCAGAGGTCCTAGAAATGTATTTAGATTGCCGTTGCAAAGGACAAACAGCCAATTAGGTTGTCTAGACTACGTGAGCCAGTTCAGGCCTCTGCATGCAAGAGGTGAGGATGGATCAGAAAGCCTTATTTTGTGTTCCTATACAGTAGAAGCTGACAATACACTCATCTGTTTCATCAATTCTCCTCTGCTGATGCTTCATCTGCAGGAGTAATTAGTTGCTCAAAAAGTTCACGAGGACACTGTTAGCCAAAACTGATTGCACTGGACTAACACAGCTGATTGCAGTTTGAGGAGACTACTAATAGAAGTTATTAAATCCTACCACTTGAAGTGATTGCCTTCATCTGGATATAAAAGATTCGGTATTTCTTCCCAGTTCAATCTTCCTAACCTGAAACAACACTGGACAGCAGTTTCCAGATACTGGAATTAATACCATACCAGAAGTGGTATCAGTTTCCCAAAAGCAGTACTCTAACATCTTCTACCACAAATTCTCTCCAACAACTTGGGTGTACAAGACCAGAATTACCAATGTTGACAAAACCATTTACCACAAAAAAACACTATGTGGATCATCAGTACCATTCAGATGGCTCCATAAAAATCTTCAGTTAGTAGTTGAGAATCAGTATGTATTTAAGCAATCAGTTCAAAATGATTTCCCCTTATCCTACAACTTCATTTGCAGCTTCAAAAAGCCAGGTAGACTTAAGACTTCATAAAACTTGTTTCTCTTGTTTACTTATGCTACATTTTTAGTAGGAGGTTCAAACACATAGCAGAATTACTCTGCCATTTTCTCCCCTTGCCCCTTTTGTGTGCAAAGGGGGAGACATTACAGGACATCTCCATTTTGAGTGTCTGGTGACTGCTAAGCTTTACTTGTATGAACTTCTTTTACATCTTAGATCTGAGAACTGGTGATGCATGGTATTTAATCTGTGCTATAAGTTGTATTTATACTTCATTAAGACTATCAGTTTGCACATACCTGTTGATAAAGCCATATCCATTTCTGACATTGAACCATTTGACAGTGCCAAGAACTTTAGTGGCTGGAAAGAGAAAAGTTAAAAATTACTCCAAAACATAAGAGACTGCCAAGAATCTTAACAAAAAAACCCCTCACACACACACTTGAAAAAAAATGCACATGAACACACCAATTCTGTTCTCTTCACATTCAAGGCATACTTTTATTTGCATTTCAGTTTATACCAAGATAGCTGAGGAACATAAAGTTCAAGCACTGCTAAGTTACCATGCAGCACCTAGAATAAACTCCAGCTGTATCTTCAAAATCGACCATTCACCCTCACTATTCTACCTCTTATCCCAGAGAAGAGCGATTAAGCTGAACCCTCTCACCCACTGCCATTCATGAGTTTGTAAACCAGATACTAAAGAGCTGAAGAACGCTGTTTAGAAGTCTATCCTCCTTCCTCTATAGGAAGAGGAGAATCATATAAAGACTCTGCAGCTCTAATGAGGATTTTCTGCCTCTCTCTTTCTGATGCTAGATTTATTGCACTACTGTCATCTTCACTAAGCAGAGGGCCCAACAAGTCTTACCATTTCTACTACTGGATACCTTCCACAATTTATATTAGCTATGGGCCAGCTTTATTTTTCCAAAGCTTCTAGGACCCAGAAAAGCTCCCATTTATCACATAGCAGCCAAACAATATCTTGCATACAGCCATACTACAGTGTCTTACAGGATCGGGTGAAACATGTTCATCTAACATATAGCATGCATAGGAAGAACCCAACTCCTTCCCTTTCAGCAACTAGGTGGAGACCACTGACACTTTCCAAGTCTGGAGAATTTGGGAGTCTATATTTTAATACACGTTAGACAGTAGGATCACAATCACTTGCACAATCCATATAGTATTTACCTGAAAAGGGTCTACCAGACATGGAAGACTATTCAAAAGTGTTGGGAGTGATGCAGGCACAAAACAAAGCTCAATTTGAAGGGGCACAAGGGGGAGAATCTTGGAAGCCTCCAGGTCAGAGCTCCCTAACCCATAGCCTGCTGGCAGCAAGAAGCATATACTGGAAAGTATTATCTGCTCTACACCTGCCTTCTTCCCTAGGCTTTGACCTCTTACAGTCTTGTCATTCTTATACTTATGGAAGTATAAAAATACTCAACAGAAAGTAAAAGTAGCAGCATCTGCCAGCTTTATTTTTGCCATAAATTATAGCAAGTAGTAAAAGCCACACTTTACATTACACTCTCCCAAGTACTTTTGCCCTTCTCAAACAGAATGCTCCTGCAAGAAGTATTTACATTTTTAGAAGAAACATAGCTACTTTAAAATAGGATAGGTACTAGAAAAGAGTGTTTCATATCATATATCTAGTCCACTCCTTGTTTATACTGCAGAGATAAAGTTAGTTCCACGGCCTAACATTGATTCAGTAGCAGTCACTGCCTAAAAGAATAAACAAACACTGGTGCTGAAGGAAGAGCCAGTAGGGACAAACGGAAGCTTACTGCTATCATTAAGGCACCAACTACACACAAGAGCTCACAACATTGGACAAGACAACAATGAAAGAAAGGGGAGGAGGGGAGCATTAGTGGTCACACAAGTTTTTAAAGCCTATTTTTTAAGGATCAGTTCTCCTATCGCTATCTCTTCCCTGCTCCCTTCAAAGTAGCTATTGAAGCCGTTGAGGTATTTCAGTCAGATTGAGAGGATAAGAAGCATAGCAAGTCTCAGGAAACTCTTAAAAACTGGTGAAAGCAAAAGATGACCAAAGCTCACCATACAAGAACAGTTGCCTACTGATAAGTTCAAATCTGCATACACAGCTTAAGAACCACCTAGAGGAAAATACTGTTCCTTATCTACAAGCTGTCAGAGACCACAGAGAAGCTTCCAGTACAGTCTTTAAGACAGCATACTGGAGAAACTGTTCTGTATTGGTACTGGGCTTGTATTCTACTACAAGTGTTAGGGGAAAGCATGTCCAACAGCAGTGTTATAGTCCACTGTGACATGATTGTAACGCAGCCATTTTTCTGCCTGAACTGTCATAGCAAGATCAGACATGCAAAAGAATAAGCCTAGCAGAAGCCAAAATTAGTTTTAATGAGAATTCAATGAAGGTAGTTGACGTGTGACTCCTTTTTGTATTAGAAAAGGGCAAGGGCCACATTTCTACAAAACACTACATTACTGGAAGTAACCAGCAATTTCAACTCATGCAAGACTAGCTTTAGTTTCAACAAATTTCAGAAGAATAAAACCAAGGTTCTTTTTTATTTTTTTGGCTAGATGGAAGAAGACTAAGTAGCCTTTACTCTTACTCCCAGAAGACAGATATTTGTATGAGTTTTAAAAGTTTTTTTTTTTTTTTAAAGCAGACTTAACATGATTATTATTAGATATCCCTGGTAAGAGTATTTGAGATGGACATGAATCCAATTTTCTTTACAGCTAGCATTATCAATAATCCCTTTCTCTGCAAAAACTGGCCTAACAATAAGGTCAGTTTGCAAAGTTATCTGCATAGAATATTTTGGACTAAAAAGAGATAGCTGCCTGCGCTTTCAGCTTTTCTTAATTTGAAAGCAATAGCAAAGACCTAAGCCAGCCCGACAGGTGACCTGAATAGAGACTGTTGGCATAAACAAAGCTAGTCAAGAAAGTCCAAGGAACAGCCAGGTGTTCCAAAAGCTGCAGACATACCTTCACTGGTTACAACAATTACTGCCAAACTAGACAGACATACAAGTTATAGTTTATAATTTGTTTTGCTAGAAATCTTCCTACCTCAACTCCAGAGAAATCCTTACCTGCTCCTGTATATGCTGTAGTCAGACCTCAAGTCTTTCTCTTCAGGAGTTAAAATGCTGCCTTTCTTTAGTGAAGTTCAGGGCTTTGAACTAGCAGTCAACCCCGCTTTAGTAATAACCTCTTTCAGCCATGTGATTTTAAGTAGCAGATTCCTATTTCCACTACAATAACTTCACCGTGGACCAAAGTCTTGTCCTTTTCAGCTAATTGATCCTCTTTAATCACAGCAAAAAAAAATCTCAGAATCCACTGGACTCAAGTAGAGAGGCAACAACTTGATATTCAGTCTACCATCTTCTCTGAGTTCTTAGTTGCATACTCAGCTTAGCAGCATTCATTAGCAAGGTAGGAACCCTCTGAGCTTCACCAGCTACTTGGATAGCCCTTGGATACCAGCTGGAAACAGGTGCCAGAGCTGAGACCGGTGTCAGCAGTCACCTAACATGGCTGCTGTGGATTCGCATTCCGCTTTGCCTGCAGCTGCTCCAGTGCCTCGACCTCCACTGCTAACTGGCGCCTGCCAAGTCCAGCAAGGGGCCAGGAACTTGCGAGAGCCGTCCACCGCACCACCAGGCACCGGAGATCCGTCCCTGTCTCTCCTTCCTCCTCCTCCTCACCCCGCCCGCCGCAACCAGCTTCTTGCTGGATCTAACTCGGACACTGGCATTCCGACGGGGCGACGCGGCCGGGCGTTTCCCCTCGGCGGCAAAGAGAGGCGCGCGGCCTCCTCCTCTGAGAGGCGCCTGCCTCATGGCCCCGGGAGAGGCTGAGAAGAACGGCAGCATCGACCGCTCCAGAACAATATATCCCCCGCCATATCCTGCAAGCTCTGAAGGCGGCATCCCCACCACGTGTTGCCCCCGCACCCGCCGCGTGGGCCCAGTCCGGAGGAAAGTTGGGAGCAGGGCCCGCGCGACACTCACCAAGCACTTTCTTCTCCGTCTCTGCGGCAGTGGTGGTGGCCGCGGCGCCTGGGGCTGCGCGGGCGGTACTGGTCTCGGCCGCTTCACTCATACTGGCAGATGAATAGGGGTGCAGCACCCTCCGATGTCTCTCTAGCCCCACACTAGGTCTTACTACCCTAAAATGGCCCCGCCGAAGTTTTAACGCAGTCAGCCAGGGCCGGGGCTCGCGCCGCCTCATTACCATTTAAAGGGGCCGCGCCTCTATAGCGGGACTTCCCTAGCGGCGAGGCAGAGGAGCCTCATGGGAGGGTGGAAAGAGGCCTACGCGGACCTGTAGCTGCCTGCCGTGTTTAAGGGAGTGCGTGGCGGTGTGCGTGGTAGTCTGTGTACCGCCGTTCATGTGGTACATTTGTGTGGAGAAGTGTATATGTGTGTATACACTTCTCAGCCTCTGCTCTGTTTGTCTGTGTGTGCTGGAACACCCATCTAGTTCCTCATACTCCAACCACATCACATTTTTAATTGCCTCTTCCCCGTTCAGTCCATCCTTTCCCATGAGACAGAAGATGAAATTCAAGTTTTGTGCACTGGGATAAGGATTACTAACGCCTTTGCCCACTTTCTCACTTTTCTTTGTATACCTGAACACTCAATAAAAGAATGTGGAGCCTTGTTTGTTTTCTGTTTTCTATCTCCTCCAGATGTCCACTTCTTCACAAGTCATGGATAGCTCCAGCAGGAAAATTGCAGTCTTTTAAGGGCATCCCTGAAGACCACTTGTATCAATACCAAGATCTACTCCAAAAGATTCTCAGATTAAGTGTTCCCAGGTCAGATATGCCTTAATTGTAGATTAAAAAAAAATGCACGATTTCACCCAGTGATGCTCTAAAATTCTTGAACTCAACTTGGCAGATGTTAGGGCCAAAGTTTACAATACTGTAACTCAGACTGTCCCACAACTGCAAACAGGGTTAAGAGTCACCTGCTGCATAAGCTGATAATAAACTAGTGAGCCGTTTTGAAAGAATGCTTTCAAAGCCTTCAGAAGTATTACCATTCACACAGACATCAGTGCTCCTGCTTCAATTATTTTCTTCTGCTTTTTTAGCTTCTGGATGAATATTTTTATTATGGTTTCCCTTATTGTGCTACGAAGGGTACAATACACATATGAAACTGAGATAACTTTTGCCCCCTAAAATTTTTAATCAATACTCCTTTTTATTATTAATGAAATATTATTTACATTTTTCCCAATTATGCTATTTTATGAATTCTTAAAATTTTCAGTGTATATTAGAGCTTTTATGAGGACTCTCATTTTCACTGAATTTTGAGAGGAAGAGTTACTATGCTAAATCAAATACTTTATCAAAATTAAGACAGAGGCATGCACTTAGTAGACATTAATCTTGTGTTCAATTGAGTTTTCACTGTCTTTTTTTCCTCCTCGAGTTAATTTTGAGGCTTTAATCGGAAAGCCTATTCAATGAAATGTACAGTGTAGAAATTTGACAATATATTTTTCAATACTATTTCAGTCATTTTAATAATGAAAAAATATAAGAATTATAAGACGGTCATTTCCGAACTAATTTTATTTTCCTTGTTGACTATTGATAACAGATTTCCTTTTCTTCCATATTGTATCTATTTTCAAAAATTACATTGGAAGAAATTAATCTGCCAGTTTAGTTAATAAACATTATGCCTCTCGTTCGTGGAGCTAATTTCTGCATCCCAACATTTTGCCAACACTTTCTATCAACTAAGTTGCAAATAACTATTTTATAAAGTTTAGAGGAGTAGAGAGTGAACACAGTTTGCAGAAAATGCATTATTTTTAGGAAAAAAAAGTACTTCAAACATTTCTAAAAATTAACCATTTCTAACCATTTGAGGATCTCTTAATTAATAGTTGCGTATTACATCCATAGCTTTCTTCTAACATTGCAGGTAGTGCAAACACCAGTCTAGCATGTGGATTTTAAGTTGCTTATAACCTGGCTGAACTCTGATAGGGGTAAGTTTTGTCGGGTAAGTTAAGCAGAAGATATTTAGATATTTTCTGAAATTAAAATGAGGGGAAAATATTCTCTTACGTTTGAATTTGGTTTAGGACTTAGCTTTATAAATTACAGTGACCTCTTTGCCTTTGAACAGAAAGCTGAAACATAGCAGTTACAGATGTCTTACTTGGGAGAACAGAAATCCTCCCCCCACTCTCAAAATTCTCCAAAACCAAATTCTGACAAGTAATGAAGATGTGAAAAAAAATGTCTTTAGCACATGCTCAGTAGATATTTCTACTGAGTTTACTCTTTCTACTGAGTCTGCTGAGTATTTATGCAAGAGTTCAACTGAAAAATTATTTGCAGATATCCAAGGGAAGTGGCACTGAGCATGCTGCAACTCTTGCTGTGTGTGCTGTGCATGCATTGCTCCTGCACACATGGCAACAAACTTGTCTGGGAGTGCTGAGCAGAGTATTCTTGCTGTGGGGTCACTACTTTGGGATCCTGTGGGGCATTTACCATTATGTATCTGTGGTTCACCAGCATTAATGAATGCATTTTATCATATGCAAATAGCTGGGGTTATTATGGGGTGGGGAACTAAGCAAAAAGCGATGAATTCTATTACTTTTCCAGTACTCGCTAATTCTGGGGAGCTGCCTTGAACATATATGCGTTTCTTTTCCAGAAATTTTGCTGTTTTTTACAAGCTGGGCGGTACATCAGATATTTGAACGAGGTTGGAACCTGCATCCTAAGGCACCTTAAGTCTCATTAAGTCTCTATAATTAAGCAACTGGTATCTTTCAGTCTGAGAGTAGGTTGAAATATCTTGGCCAGTGTATGGTTAGAAAGAGCTACTTTAGACCCCTGTGCCAATGCAGCATGGAAGGAGGTGTCCCCTGATGCTTGCTCTTAGGAGCCCAGCCTTCTTGGTGGTGTGGGGATTGAACAACACCTTTTCTCTTGCTGTTTCCCACCAGTAAGCATAGGTCCTCACTCATCATGTCCTGTGAATAACACTCCTTTGGTGACTAATTACTCATGCTCAGCATGGGCAGCCTAGCCACCCAGCTTGATCTCCTGGATCCCGTGGGCACCTCTAGTAAGATCAGGTAGCTCCTGACAAGTTAAATGCTATGTAATATATGCAAGTAACCAGTTATTCAGTGGGATTTTTTTTTTTTTTACAATCCTGAATTATAAATCTTTGGAGGTCTGCAAAAATGTGAAAATCTATGCTTTCATTTCTTAATAACCAAGTTGCTTACTCCATGCAGGCAGTGAAGAAGAGCTTGAAAAACACTGTTTAAGGCTTATATACCAGAAAAAGATGAAAAGAGGTAAAATTCATAATTATTTTAAACATTTCATAATTTTAAGCTAAAATATGTGAATTTTGAGTGCTGGAAATTGGCAGTGTTATACCATAAGAATTCCAGATTAGATAGGTGGGGCATATTTGATCTGTGGGTATGGATAACATTTTCTACTTGCTCTTCAGAGCCTTTGGCTCTACTGAGAAAACCACATTTCTGAAGATTTTACACAGAATATGATGTGCAAAGTAACTGCATGCAACTGTCTATAGCAAGACTCACTGAGCTACTAGCCTAATATGAGCAGCAGATTGAACTAATAGAAGGTTTTTAGTTAGAAAAAAACAGGTTCACTGAAAGTGAAATAATTTGCAGCTACAAATTCTGTAATGTATTTGTCAGAAAAATCAGAAGGCTTATTTCAATAAAGCAGAAGGCTCTGTTTCAAGTAACTGTAGAAAGTAACATTTAAATCCATCATCTACAAATGTTCTTTTTATACTGAAATTATTTTATATAATACAGAAGTAATGATGACATATTTTAAAAATACAATAAACCTGATATTTCTGGAGATATATTTTATACAATGTAGAAATAATTAATATATTACATTTTATACTGTCCACTACTTTTTCTGAAGTAACATCCTTAATCTGGAGTTGAAGGCAACCTACTAACATTTTGCAAAATTCAATTGTTCCATAAACAAAGAATTCATTATTTTCTTCTTCCTTAACAAACCTTTCTTTGTCTTGGCTCCTTCCTCCACTGATCCAGACAAAGTATCTTGCAATGTCTTATGGGTGAATTTGACATAAGATTAAAGCAGACTAAGACATGTTTTTCTAATAGGGTAAAAGTACATCTAGAAGAATCTTATGCAAATAAGGGATCTGCTAACCAGAGCACTGAATTGTGTAGTAACATTCACACCATCGTGATTCTGTCTTTGTTTATTTACGATTTAAATATGACTGTATTAAAGCCAGCTGTTAGCCCTATGTGAAAATGAAAAGGAATAAGATGTTTGTATTTGCGAAGGACTTTGCACATTATATTTGTGTTACTGTGACAAGTATAGACCCTTGCACCTAAATTTCAGCTCAGCCATGTACATATTCCACAAACCACACATTCGCATTTTCTACTGCACACACAGCACACAGACCACCCACACTGCCCTACACATCTTTTCTTAGATCACAGAAAAACAGGAATTTGCCTGCGTTACAAAACAAAAACTCAGATTGGTAGGACTCCTTGCCACACTTCTTGCTTGGTCATGGAAGACAAGACTGATCCGCAACTAATCTCCAGAGATTTGCTGAAAGTCTTAAATGGACTAATAGGTGAAACTGTGGATCAAATCTCAGGTAGAAGCTTAATGTAAGAAGCTCAGCTCAGTACAGCAGCCAGTAGGATTGAGATGAGAAAGTAGCTGGGAGTTACAGAGCTCACTACAGCCCTTGTAGACTCCCAAAAGAATCTTAATATATGTTTCATCATTTCTCTTGGGAATGGTCTTCTGCATGCATTTTATGAGTATTTGTGAAGTTATGAGCATTGACTGTCTTTGTAAACTTTTCCAAAGTGATATTCTTCATATCACTACACAAATGCGACAGTAGTTAGGATCTAGGGAGTATGACTAGCCTAAGTGTAAGTAATATTAAACTGGCCCCTGAAAAAGGCTAAATTATATGCTCTGCACCCATAAGTAACCTCTATCCCAGCATTTTGTAGAGGGTGCATTACTGTACTACACAAAG